ATCTGACCGATTTTTAACGGGCTGAACGAGTCCGAATATGCAAACAAAATTAAGCAAAATTTCAAGAAGGAACATGGCGTTTATGTGATGTAATAACTGGTGACGAGACGTGGTTTTATCATACACAAATTGGTCGAAAGTCATCGACTGCGGCATGGATGGAAAGAGGAGATCCTCCACCTACTGTAGTTCGGCGCCATAGGTTTGCTTCAAAAACCCTATTTTCCATCTTTTTAAAGTCAGATAGCCCTGTTTTCATTCATCCTGTGGAATGGGAACAAGCAATTGATCACTACTATTACATCAACAATTGTTTACGACCACTTGTCGAGCAAGTCAAACGTGGAAGACCCTCGTATGGTACCCGTGCTATTAAAATTCACCACGATAATGGAAGATCACATATTCATAAAGATGTGTCCGATTATCTTGAATCGAAAGGCGTCACAATAATACCACATCCACCTAATTCTCCAGATTTATCACCATGTGACCTTTGGTTGTTCGATTTAATCAAAGAAAATCTAACCGATGAAAGTGATTTAGAATCATTATGTGATGCTGTATCCGATTTCATGTATTCTTTAAATAAAGAAGAATATAAAAAACCTTCGAGAAATGGATTCAAAGAATGCAATTGTATATAGATAATCAAGGTGATTATTTTGCACATTTGACAAAATAAACAATTGTTGACCTTGTTTCGGTATTTTTTTTGTGTTCCATCACTATTAGTTTTTATGTATTGTAAAATATATGAACGGTTAGTTGTTAGTAGAGATAAGAAAAAGAAGGTGAAATGAAGAAGAAGAGAAAAATAAAGAAAAACGAAAAGAAAATAAGAAAAAAACACACGCATGGATGATAATATGCACTATTGCTACCAGCTGAAGTGGCACAAAAATCAATTTTATGATAATTTTTTTATTATAATATGAATTGAATAGTGATCAAACAACATAGAAAGATAGAGCAAAACACGCTCTATCTATTCATAAAAAAGAATTTTTTTTCAAGCAGTCTATACGAAATTAAGATGCGGCGGCCACTACTTTTGGTATGCCCTAAGTATATTATTGGCAACAAGATTTAGTAACAATTTAAAATAAGAAAAATGAAATCTTTGGCAGGTACGAATACTATTTTTTATATATAATATTTGTTCCTTAATCTAATTGTACAAATACCATACTATAGATGCTTCGATAAAATATTTCTGACATGGAATGAATCTGAAAATAGTCTTCGTACTATACTTAATATGATGAATACACAATATCCTGATATTGGAATAACAATAATTATGAATACTAATATCAATTATCTCGATGTAAATATTAGCAGTGGCAGCGAAGCCCATGAAACCCGTGAGGCTCAAGTCTCACCTGATTTTGCAGCAGATGAGACCCAGCCTCACTTGATTTCGGATTGAATATTGTTATTTTTTATTATCAGGATTTGTTATGTTAAGCATCTAACATATCCAGATACATGTTCCTTTTGGTACCCGATTTTGAAATCGATTCTCATTGTTCCAAATACACCATCTGATAGTGAATTGAATTCTCTATCTAATGGTGTATTTGTTGTTGTTTTGCAATGGACGACGAGGTCTGAAAAATGGGTTTCAATACTGGAAGTGACTGATGAATGATGTCACTTTGGTTGTTTTTTTCCTTTTGGAACTCTTTTACGGGATCGAACTGTGAGTCATGTAACAGGATGAAGCTAGCGTCATTCAAAAATTTGCATACTACAGCTATATTAGAAGAATGACATATTCTGAAAAATCTTCGTCTGCCAATACTTCACTCTTACGAATGCATTTCCAATCACCTTTAAACTAAGTATAAGATACATCTATTTTTTCGATATATTCTTTCGTGAAAATTTCGCCATAAAATTATATAAAACTTCATATCACGTTTAAAGTTCGAGCGAAGATAGTTTTTCACAAACCTGCAACAAGTTTCAAGCATATCAGTATATTGATCAAAAGGGATAATCAAATAGCTTTCCAAAAAAATTACTGACTTAATAAAATTTTACTCATAATTTTTATCTTCTGAGATTACATTACACATACTTAAGATCATGTCCAGTTGTTGTAATCGTTCCTCTCGATTATCAAAGAAGAAACTACGTTTATACGACGATTTGTTTGCATCCATATTGTTATTCATCTTTCAAATAATAAATATTAGTATATATATCGTAGGATAGATTGAAATCCAGTTCAGTTTTAAATCGTACTAGGACAGATTGAAATTTTTATTTTTCCTAGTTCAGATCAGAATTTTGAAGTCATCTAGTTGATTTCGAAATGCATTTTAATCTTAACTAGTTGACTTCAGAATTTTGATCTGAACTAGGACACATTAAAATTTTTAGCCAAATTATTCATGGCTGACTGGTTAAAGATACGTGTCGGGATGATATTGAGGGTGTATGGTGAATGATGATGAGTGAAGATGAAACTATCATCCGTGTCCTCGTGCTCGCCCTCATCCTCACCGACCATCCATCCAAATATCTATATTTCAATCCGAACTAGTTCAAATCAAAATATTTTAATCTGTCCTGGTTCAGATCAAAATATTTCAAGCTATCCTAGTTCAATTTAAAATATTTTAATTTATCCTAGTTCAGACCGAAATTTTAAAGTCAACTAGTTGAGATCAAACTGCATTGCGAAGTCAACTAGTTGTCTTCAAAATTTTGATCTCACCTAGGAAAAATTGAAATTTCAATCTATTCTACTTCGACTTAAAACTGAACTGGATTTCAATCTATCCTACGACATATATATTTTTATGATTTTTACTTATATATTGGCGCTATTTGCACAAAAAACAAAATTCTATCTCGTTTATTTATATTAAATTATTTATAAAAATAATTTTTTTTTATTATCATATACTCGTTTGTATCATAATTACCATGTGGATTTTTTCACCACGATTTTAACATGCGTTTTAATATGGTCACTGTTACCACAATCATCATAGACACTTTGACCACAGTCATGATTTGGTCATTTGTACCACAGTTACTATGGGCATTTGGACTACAGCTGTTACTTTATTCGGCCATTTATACCACAGTTACTATCGGTATTTCGACCATATTTGTTAAATGCTCATTTGTATATACCACAGTTACCATGGCAATTTAGACCGCGTTACCGACAGACAGACAGACAGACAGACACACGTGAATTTACGTTTCTAGATCCTAGCCTTTCAGTCTAGGGAAAATACAACCATGAGTACATTCTGACCCTGTAGGTAAAATATAGTTTCAATGACCGATATTTACATTGGATAGCTTCACTAATTGAACATTTGCAACAGTGTTTAATACATGAATACTGTAAAAGACATGATCTTTGAAGTTTTTTGATTCTACATTGAGATCATGAAGGAATGCCATAGATATAGTTTTATCGAGCAACTCCATCTCTATCAATTAGTGTATAACTTAATTTGAATAGTGAAAAGTTTTGTGATTGAAAGATTTCAAAACAAAAGTATAGGTTAATTTTTCATTCTTTTCCCCCTTTTTTTGCAGGTGTTTGTGATCCGTTAGCTCTAGGAAACCAGAGATAAATCTTTAGATTCTAATGTTTTTTGATTTATCTATGGTATTCAAGGCCTGAGATTTCTAAGTGGTCAAATTCACAAGCAGTTAATCGTCATGTTTTTTAATATTCGAACACATTTTATCACTAACTACTATGATTACGTAGTTATTTATAAAGGGTAAATGTAGTATGTACTAGGAATATAGTAATCTGATATTATTCTACTCGAAAAAGTATTTGAAATAGATGCTGATACAAAAGGATTAACCTGATGTTAACGCATAATGTACAAATGGTCTTCATAATTTTTCAGCAAATATCTAAGAATGATATCTATAGCTTTTAGGCATACTTCAGAGTAGTTTATTTTCAATTTGATTCACCCATAGATTAAATTATTGATAATTTAATACTGAATGTTAAACCTGAGTTTTTCCGATCTGGGACTCACTTGAAATTGGGTGATTAGCCTTTAAACGATGGATGTCTTTTGCTTTTTGTTTAGATAATTGCAGTAAAGTAAAGGTAGCGTAGCAATCCTATTACCAGCAATGTTTGACATATAAGTCAAAACATGACTGAAACCCAAAATTTGTAAACATACAAGACGATAGGAAATTTGATGTGCTATTAGAATATATAATTGTTTTTTTAGAGATGTATTTCAAAGCTAAAACGACTACGAAGAAATATACAATTCTTTTGTATCTGTCATTTGATGATATCTTCGCTACAATCGAATTATTAGTCAGCCAATAAATAAAAGACAAGAGATAAATATATATAGAAAAACGAAACTCTTGAATTGATCTCTGTACAATCTTTACGTAACAGATGAGCATATTCCAAAACAAAGAAAAAAGATCTAATAATTTTTCAAGATATTCGTTTTCCTTTTTACAAAATTGCGTTCAGTTTCTACAAAAAGAATGTTAGAAACATGGAAATTTTGTGAAATGAAAAAGTAAATAATAGTGGTAACATTATTGTGTTAAATTTTCCAAGAATAAAATGCAACAATGAAAGAAATACTTAAAATTTAAGTGCTGAAATACGGACGCTTAAAGCTAGAGAATCAGTTGATGAAGAAAAGACCCTCTAATATCTATGTGTCAATAATGTACTATTATTTTTAACATTGCAAAAAGCCAAATTTTGTTTTACTTTTTAATCGTTGTTCAATCCAGTTAATTTCTATATTGCTGAAAATAATTCAGCAAAAAATGTTCATGTACACGTACTGTCTGTACACACATTGAAATCAGTTTATCTATATTTTTCATTGAACACATCGGATCGAAATGATCAACATCTTGTTTATTTATCAATAAGAAAACAAAATCGAAGTTTACAAGTAATTAACTATGAGAATCAAACAATGTAATCATTACTATATGTATAAGCCTTTTTCTTTTAATTAAATGTTTTTACAATGCTTATTTTCTTCTGCATCACTATCATTTTTTTTTTGTAAATCATTTAATGCTTGTTTAAGATGATCATTTTCCTTTTGTAAACGACTTAATTCCTGTCGATAATCATTAAGTTGATTAGTTAATTCATCAATTGTAATTGTCAAATTACATAAAGATTTTTGTAAAAGCTGATCATGATTTGTTTGTTGTTGTACTATTTCAAGTCGAAGTCTATCTAATTGTTGAAATAAATTAGCATTTTGTTGACGTAAAGCACTATTTTCATCGATTAATGCACGCATATGATCGGTAACTTGTTGGCGATTCTGAAAAAAATTCAAGTTTTAATTAAGTTTATGTTTTATATGGGTATTCATAAAGAGATATTATTTACATTTATTGAATCGCCAGACGGCGTATTCGATTCTTGAATAGGTCGTTGGTCCATGATGAAAACGACTTAATATAAAATAAAGAAAATAAGATGCTGTGTTCCACTATGTTAGTATTGATTTTATAAAACAAAGATAATTTTGTTTATAATGAAAAGTTTTTATAGCCAATAAAATTTCTTCGTTATTGTCCTCCGTTCGGTACATCTATGCATTTAAATAACTAACTATAACTGTGACTATAACACTCCATTATTTTAGATATTTATTAAGGAATTTTAATTTTCAATTAAAAAGTATTAATTTGAAACAAATAGAGACATAGAGAAAAAAACTTGATTAGTGAGATTCATTCTTCAATAGAGTAATTGATATGTCCATTAATAATTATTTTCATATAATTAAAGTTAACGAAAAACAAATGTTGAATTCTCATCGAGATCATAATAAATTGTAAAATATATCATCATCTCAAAATTGTCAAAAACGTAAAACTGAAAATGAATGAAATAATCGAAAATAAATGCATCGTGAAATATAGATTTTTTTTGTCATTTTTTGTGTGATTTATTTCTAGTGTTATCTTAAAGAGACAATATTGATGTGAATATTTATGTTGGAAATATTCCATAAATATCATAAAACCGTTACAATAGGTATCGAGAACTAAACATCAGGAGGGTGTGAGTGTCATTTCTCTGTAATCAAAGTAGGATGTGGAGGTGGATTTGAGTGTAGGTATCAGAAAGAGGATAATATGAGAGCTCAAACCCCACATCTACATATCGTCTATGACTCACGCCTTTGATTATCTGTGTTGTTAATTTCAGACTGCAGAGTTCAAATTGATACCGAACTCCATTATAAGCTCATGCCCAGTTTTAGTTTCCGCGAAAAGAAGATTCACATCCTATCAACGATTTTGGCAATGGAGATTTCGGTATATTTGAACTATATCTTTGAAGGAGAGAACAAAAAGAGTTTCTTTAATTTATCTGAAACATGTTCTAAAACTAATCAATTGTCTACTATGAGTCTCCCTTATTTTACACTTGATGATGGAGTTTTTTGTTGTTATCGGTCCTACTTCTACTATCGTACTAATCACGTTGTTGCGTATTAGATTCGATTTATCGATTCAAACATTCATTTTCTTAAAAAACTGATAATTTTGTAACATATCTATTTTTGTATGAGTCAGCTATTCGATCCTCTCTCCTCTATGAAGAGGATGATTGTCATACTGCTTGGAAAACTCTCGATATTACTGTCACTTCTCTTCACAACGTGTTTAACTGATAACTGATGGTAGATAGTAGAATTACTAAGATTAGTTCTCTCTGTGTGGTTATTTTCTAGCAGTCCATCGAATATAAATATATTTTCTCTCAGAAACTGATTCATATTGTGATTGAACCAGATAAATGGTTCTTCCTAGTGCCTTCGTGCACAAATCATTGGAAGAAATTTACTTATTTATTTATTTATTTATATTCAATTCTAACCTTGATTGTTTGAATTATCTGTTTTCACATCTTTATATCGTCTAAATTTATTTAAATAAATTCAAAATAAAACAAAGATATGAAGTAAAAAAGATTTTTTTTTTACTTGCACATTCGTAATAAATCTTGTACAATTGTACTAAGACGAAATACGACAGGTGTTCCACGATATTTTAATTGACCAACAGAATTTAAAAAAATCTGTTAATTGTAATAAATTATTAACTTGAAGATTAAAAGAACTAGAACGGATATATATATATATGTATTATTAGAAAATACCGACAAAAAATATTATACATACTTAAAAGCAGATACAACTTCACTGTATGGCGGAGCATCATTATTTGCTTTACCATCTTTGAGATTTTGAATATCAGTATGAAGTTCTCTATTAAAATCATTAGAAAATATATAATTATCCCCCTTTAGCATATATATATATATGATTATCTAACCCATTTCTTTAGCATGAAGATTCTCTCTCGAAAATGAACTTTTCATCTCTCATCCGATGTCAGCCAAAATTTCAGAGCACGATAATCTTAACTAGAATAAATTATGGATGACATATTTTCCACAAATCTCCAAGATACTGATTAGCTATAGTCAACTCATTAGTGTGGAGTTTGGGTGACGCCTATATTCTTTTCACAGACCATACGTCCCAAGTATGTGTAATCAATTCGACATCATCGAAACTTATATGAAATTAACTTTCGTGGTATAAAGCTATAAAAGTTTCCATACAATGCAAGTGCATATTTCTCAGCTAGGGGCCTTTTGAAAAAGCTCATCAAAAAAACACCTAACCTTCTTCGTTTGACAAAAAGAATTATGCCAACTTAAAGCCCATTACAAAGACTATCAGAATATGTATAAATTTCAAAATCAAGTTTTTCTCGAAAAATCGTTTTTTCTAAGTCGCTTCCTCCTTTCCCTTCTTAAATGAATAGAAAATACATACCGAAATTCTTCTATGGACATATTTCCATTATTTTTAATATTATAAAAACGAAATATATATCGACAACGTTGTTCAGCAGGAGCTCCTAAAATCATTAGTTTAATATAAATTAAATAACAAGTAACGTTTGTCGATGCGACTCACTTGACCCTCGACTGAATTCATTATACAATGGCTCCAAAAATTATCCGTACAGCTTATACGATGATATAGTTTATTTTGCTGTCTCCAAACCATACCAGCTAGAGATATCAGAATCATATCATTCTGCAGCCTATCACTTCTCATCTATATGCTGCTATTTTCAACCCGTTGTCTTGTCCTCAAGCTGCTTTAGAAAAAAAAATAATAGGAATACCTCGAAATTTATGTTACAAAAATTATCCGTACAGTTGCAAAAACAAAAGTTTGTTTCCATTTAATAATTCTAATTATGATAAATGTCTGTGTTATTAGTTATTCTTAGTTCAAAGATATTCACTTGAATTTCAATTGTTCTTTAAATATCGTTGAATAAAGGTTTTCCTAGGTCATAATCATGAAGACTAGGATTCTCAGCTATTTTTGAGAGGTTACATGATCTCCTATTAGAAATTGTGCTCATTATTTCCATGCATTGAAGTCAGATAATCTCCATGAGAAAAATTCTGATGTATAAATACAATAGATACATGATTTACTAAATTAATTGCATAAACAAATCTCAACAGTCAAGAGAAATGCTTAGTATTATATAACCAAAGCAACAAACTAGGCACTTAGAGGCATGTTTTGATGAAGTAAACTGCAAATAAACTTTATATTTGGATAGAGCACATCAAGTTGCATTAGAAGGATACAAAACTGAACGAACTGCACAGACTTTTACGGCTCTATATAGGACTGAACACTGCAGATTGTTCTGAATAATCCACATAAATTCAGTCCAATATGAAGAGCAGACTTTGTAAAGGTAGACGACAAGAAACAAAGAACTTATGTTATTTTCGACAAGGGTCACTCACTTTTCTGTAAACCGAGCATGATACTAGCCAACAATATCCTTAAATCGAAGTGTAATTCTATACTATACGCTCGAAGGTGACTAGGCATGTTTTTGTATAATAGGGTAGATAAAGTCTAGTCCCCTGCGGAATCACAAAATGTTGTGCAGTTCGTTCAGTTTTGTATCCTTCTAATGCAACTTGATTTGCTCTATCTAAATATAAAGTTTATTTGCAGTTTACTTCATCAAAACATGCCTCTAAGTGCCTAGTTTGTTGCCTTAATTATATAATACTAAGCATCTCTCTTGACTGTTGAGATTTGGTTATGCAATAAACTTAGTAAATCATGTTTCTATCGTATTCATACACCCGCGACGGATGCTTCTTTAAATTCTAAGGCTGCGCTGTACTGTGAGCGGTCAACCTCGTGCTGCGCGATACGGTGAGCGGTTCTATCGAAAAAAAATTCCGCTGCACTGTACTGAGCGGCCGCCCGCTTCGATCCCTGATATGAATACTTTCAGGTGGGCGGCGCACATTCAGCCCATCCAGTAAATAAAACACGGAGTTGAAGTATACTTTGATTAAGAATAGATAAGATATTATTCTCATTTTCTTGATCTAAAATATTATTTATCAATACACTTATTTTTAAATCGATAGACAAATAACAATCGAACTCTTGTTTGTCGAACTATAGCAAAAACACTATCCTTCATGTTATATTCATTTTATTTGATTAGCATAATCGAAGTACAATTCATCATCTCGTATTATTTGCCTTTATTGACAGAAGTTTTAGCAAAAAAAAAAAAAAAAAAAACATTTACAATAAAGGAAAATATTGATGAAAATTTCTTGGAGGTACAAACGGCTCCCTAATATGAAGACCGGTCAATTTACTACAAGTGACACGTATTCCATCATTAGTGAAATTATTTGTAACCAGTATGAGGGATTCATAGCCAATACGAAGATCCAATAAATGAGGTAAATAACAGTATTTATCGAAAAGAAATTGTTCAGCATAATCTACATGAGCATAATAAAGGCACAGAAAAACAAGATGAGAAAATGTTATACATTTTTGCGATTGTTGCTTGTCTTTTTGCGGTTCATCATTAAATATATACAATTTTTTCAATAGAGGAAAACTTTGAGAGATGATTTTGAAGAAATTATGTTCAAAAGGACGAAAGTCAGCTATCAACAACGATTGAACATTATTAAATAAACCACCTTGAAAAGAATTATTTAAAAAAAAAAGAATTTTGAATTGATATGGAAGTGAATAGATGTGACATCTACTTTCGAATTCATATGGAAGTGAATTAGTGTGGCATCTACTTTTTTTTTTTCTTGAAAATATTTCAACTTGTGAATAAACTGGTCCATATTCTTTTCTAATGAAACTACGTTGAATATCTTCATTCGATGAAAGAGCAAATTCAATATTGTTTTCAACTATATTTGTGTCTATATTGAAAATAAATTTGTTTAATCGTGGCATATAAATAAGAATATCATCATATAATTGAATACCATCAATATAATTTTTTTCAGTTCTTATTATTGATAGAAATAATATCAATTCTTCAAGATTTATCATTCGTTGAAGTAATGGAATAATTAGATTATCATAACAAACTATACGTCGATACGACCTTAATGAGAAGTGTTTCAATTTGGGAAGTTTTTTCTATCAAAAAATACAAAAAAAGGAAATAAAGCATATTTATCTATTGAATTCACTGTTTTTTTTTTTCTTGAACAACAATAATTGACAATTATACTCACTGTATTATCTATAGTTCCTACTGTATATGCAATTTCTAGGACAAACATAATCAATTTTGATAAACAGTTGAGACGTCCATCAAGTAAATAAAGACAATCATCGAAAGTCTTTATATCAATTATCAATTCAGTCAAAGTTGACGATGTGCAATTCATTGATGATATCTCAAAAGTACAAATTCTTGATCGATCATAGAATTCATGAAAATTTAACTTGATTAACCGTTTACATAAAGATAAAATCAAAGTAAATATAATCGAAGAAGTTTCAGAAATTGATAGTGTTGTGTCATATTTAAAATCAAGTTTAAAACATGTAATGTGTTCACTAAGAAGTCTTCGAAGAGTTGTATTATCTTCAATTGACAAATAAAAAAAATAAAAGAAAGGAAAACATTATTAAAATGATTCCATTAGTGTATTAATTGAAATAAACATAATTAAATAGTTTACCTGTTAAGTATTTGAGAAGTACTTCTTCTGTAAAATCTATAAGTGATAAAGAGTAAAGTTGAGGATAATTGATAGTATGAAGAATACGTTCGATTGAATTTTGTTCAACAATAAGTTCATTTATTTGATGATGAATTCGAGGTAAGATATTTTTACATATTCTATCAAGAACTTTATTTTCTATTGAATAGATACGATCATAATATGATTTCATCATCATAGAGGTCATATCAAGATTATGAATATAAAATGGATCAAGTATTAATTGATCAAAACGTTGAGTAACATCCACAAGTGAATAGAGAATATCGACCATATTTAGTTTGTTAAAAATTATCAATAAAATTTCATTGGGAAAATCAACTATATTGAGATCTTTCTTATTCGAAATATTCATATCTAATTCATTGATTTACAGCGTATTAATTTTGTATATACATATCTATTTTTCTCATTGCCGTCTGATAAAACAATGAAGGATAAATATTCATGTCGTTCAATAATAGTCAATGTTGAACAAATGATGTTATTTTTCTTTATGTGGAACATTCTCTCTTCTTTATTGACGAATCATTCGTTGGCTGATTGTTCTTTTGTCACAATATTTGTCATGTATTATATAAATTTTGATAATACACAAGTAACATTTTGGCCTCAAAGACTTTGCTTAATAAATAACAAAAATAATGTAATAAAAACTAAAAAAAAAAAAAAAAGGCAAAAGAGGATATTCAATTGGTCTCACAGTATTTAATAAGTCCTTCTCAAGGATTAACCAATAGAAAAATTCTAGCTTCATCTAATATAGTATTTTATAGCATAGTAAACCGACTTTTTTCGAAAAAAACCACTTTTTTAGGGTAGATAATGTCTATTTTATATAATAATCAATCAAAAAGTAATTCAATGTGATTAACCCACTTGAACCATCGGTTTTCATTAAAAATAAGCAAAATGGAATCGCATTGAGCACATGATATAAAACAAAAACCATTCTAGACATATTTTGAGATAAAAAGATAGTGATATAGGTAGATATGTAGGTCTTTTCTGCATGACATTATTCGATCAATCAAACAAACTCTTTAAATTCATCAATTTCACTGGCATCAACATAAACTAAGAATGAAGTCTATCAATCAGCTAGAGGCATGAAAAAGATTATCTTGTAAATTTCATATCTCTTTCCAAAGTACGTAACCAGTATTTCTCCTGATATTTGGAGTCAATTTTAACACAATTTAACATATGATGGACAATGTTCATGACATTGTGCACTAGTGACATCATACAGGTATCTACGATTGCATAAAATTCTCCACGTATAGCAACACTCTCCGAATATATGATAAGAAATATTTAAATATAATTTTGTCTTTTTTATTACTTAATTATTGTTCTAATGACAACTCCAATATCAACTAATACAAATGTAATAACAAATTATTCTGCTGAAGATATTGGTTAATTTTTATATTTTTACTATTTGTAAAAATACGTTTCTATTTGAAATAGAACGAATAATCAATGATTTTTATTCTCCAACATCTCAATTATCAACTGAACAACGTCAAAAATTGAATACTATTCTTGAAAATTTACAATATTCTAAATCAGCATGGGATTTTCCATGGAAATTTTTAGATATAAGTAAATCATCAAGTATTCAATTCTTTGGTACTGTTGCTCTTTGTAATAAAATTTCTAAACATTTGTACGTTGTTTACCATCTATAATTATTGATTTTCATATTTGTTAAATTGTTTAGATTAGAATTAGATGATAATCAAATACGAGAATTATTTCATCAACTAATTCAACGATTAATTTTATATATTTCAATTAATTCAAAACAAATAATTACTAAATTAACTATAGTTGTTAGTTAAATATCAATAAAAGAAAAAGAACCTTTATATTAAACTATATTCTATTTAACGGGTGCTGTAAAAGTTCTGCATTAATTTTCTTTTCAGTATAGTATGGCAACGAATCTTCATAGAAATTTGATCTTTTTCTCGTTATAAAGAGCAAGGTGTCTACTACAAAAATATGTAAAAATATTTGATTCAAAATGTTTACCAAAGACTAAAAAGTCTTAAGAATAAGTTGGACCAAAAAAGTGTCTTTCAACTTAACTCAATATTAGAGATGAGAAGTGCATTTGTTTAATCTTTTTTACACTCGGCTTTATATGTTTGGAGGCAAGTTATATGTGAGTCCGACCGATCCAATGTGGCCTTTCTAATCATGCAAAAACATTCGAGTTACAAAAGCACAGGTTTCAACGGAAACAGTTTTATTAAAAAGTTAAAAGATTTTCCGTCTGCAACGTCCAATGAAGGTTTTCTCACAATGTCTAACAGAGAAACTGAATTCTGCTTTATATAATGTGCTTTTGTAGAGGATTCAATAAGCCTTAATTGCATATAAAATAGGCGGTTTCTGCTAACGTCGATGTTGGAAGAAATCTTATTTTTCGAAGTCATTCATTAGTTGTGAAAAATTTGCACTAACAAAAGATGTTAGAAAAATGTTGATTTCGAACTCAACCAGTCATTTGAAAATCTTATTTTTGCGCGTTTACAATGCCCGATTGTAGCGCTACAAAACCTGATAAAAGCTGGAAAAAATATCAATTTTATTTGTAGATGAAATTTCTTCTTCTGAATTCCAGAAGCTGAAAGGCACTTATCAAGTCCAATGTTTTCTTAAAGCTTTTTAGCTTTTAGTAAACATTTTGGATCAAATATTTTTTATATAATTTTGTGTTAGATACTTAGCTCTATCTAACGAGAAAAAGAACGAGTATCTATAACGATTCGTTGCCACGCTATACTGAAAAGAAAATTAATGCAGAACTTTTGCACCACCCGTTAGTTAAAAAACTTATAGAATCTGTTGAGTTATTTGTGAAAATATTCTGTTGTTGATAGACTTGAACAATGTTATTATCGGAAAAGCTAGATTTGAAAAAAAATGTGATAAAATGATTAAGTATCAACAGGCTCGATATTTTTCAAAGGTTTTACTCGTCATATATCTAAGGAAAAAAAATCTATGTATACTCTTTTAACAAACATTGTTTGATTGTTTTGTTCGATACGATTGGAAAGTCTGAATACGAACTCGCTTCTCAACAATCAAACAATAGTTTTCAAAAAGAATGCGTCACTTTTTTTTTATGTATCAGTCGAATAAAGCCAGAAAAAAAATAATCGAGCTTAACGAGATTTGATGCCTTTGACGTTTTGCAGTTTTCATAGACAATTATGGAATTCTTTTCACACTGGACTGTTAGACACTTTTGTTGAATTTTGATTGCAACAGTGATGAATTAGCTTAATTTCCTTGCATTACATTAACTCATTTATACACAGCGTTACTTTCATTTTTTGAATAAACTATTTTTTTAATCAATTCCAATTTTGTTTTTCATATAACTTTTATTTTTTTTGTAATAGATTTTAGAAAATTTTATGCTAAAACAATGGAAG